ATTTATGAAACAAACAAACAACAGCGGGCCCAATACACTACCCTGCGGTACCCCACTTGTTACAGGTACAGATGACGATTTCGTGCCATTAATCACCACACATTGCTTGCGGTCATGTAGAAAGTCTTCTATCCACCCTTCAACTGACTCGTTATTTGTTACTATACGCGATAAACTATTGTGTAAAGTGGAGGAGTTGAAATATATAAAATATAGTGCTGGGAGTGTCGACTGCTGGGTGTGTCGACAACTCTGTGTGTGTGTGTCGACTGCTGGGTGTGTCGACAACTCTGCGTGTGTGTGTGTGTCGACTGCTGGGTGTGTCGACAACTCTGTGTGTGTGTCGACTGCTGGGTATCGACAACTCTGCGTGTGTGTGTGTCGACTGCTGGGTTTGTCGACAACTCTGTGTGTGTGTCGACTGCTGGGTGTGTCGACAACTCTGCGTGTGTGTGTGTCGACTGCTGGGTGTGTCGACAACTCTGTGTGTGTGTCGACTGCTGTGTGTGTGTTATCTGCTGGGTGTGTAAGCCGCTGGGTGAACTTACTGTAACTAAATATAAACTCTTCTACTGAAAATACATACTTCAGCTCATACAGTTACCGGAGTTCATGAGACAACAACATGAATGAGTTTATGGACATTGACATGGATGATAGTATTTAACCTCGCTGGAGAGAAATTCTACAGTCATGCATCGAGTTTACAGTTAACTCTGGGGTCTGAGTTAACGTCTATTTAGTGAACAAATCAGTAAATCCGTTACTTTGGCTGCCGCGACCCCACAAGTCAGTTTACACAATGGCAGGACTTAATGTGGATGGGTCAACAACATAAACAAGACACCGGAAAGTAGGAAATTTTTGCTTAAGATATCAAAAGTTTCTTCACCCGATTATAATTTCCATAAACGAGTTATTCATCATGTGATTCTTGTTTTTGTAGATAAGTTGATATCAGGGTGGGGCAAGGCAAGGTAGGGTAAGACAGGGTAGGGCAGGGTGGGGCAAGGCGTGGCAGGACAGGGTGGGGTAAGGCAGGGCAGGATAGGGTGGGGTAAGGCATGGTAGGGCAGAGTGGAACAAGGAATAGGAGGACAGGATGGGACAAGACTTGGCATCATAGGATTGGGCAGGGCAGGGCAGGGCATGGCAGGGTGGGGTGGGGTAAGGCAGGGTAAGGCAAGGCATATAACACAAGATATTATACTGTTAACACAAGTAATGTCAATAATTAGTGCTCGTGTGTGTAATAAGGTCAATACAATCGTATTTTCTAATATATGTCTTTCTAAGTATTTTTATCTTGATCGTTATTCTTTACCAAGTGTTGACGAGGTATGTTGAGGCCGTTGTCCAGGTGGATTATTATGCGAGTCACACGGTGTGGAGGCAGGTCAGTGGCCTCTCTCTGCCACACCCACCTCCATCCCCACTAACTTGTTCTTCCAGTTTGCCATATGTGGGCATCATCAGACGTGTGTGAGGAGGGTGCATAAAGTCGCCACAACAACCAGGGTCGGGGCGGCCTCGAGTAAATATTCTACACGTCTACGTATGTCACTGACTTGAATTAACCATTTAACATTTTTTATTTATTTTTTATTTATTTTTTATTTTTTTGTGCTTCGCTTCGTTACACATTTACCATATTAACCATTTTGTCTCTGTTGTTGTTATTGTCCTCGGCAGTATGGTAGAAATTATGTAAAATTCAAACACCTTTCTCAGTGCTTGAACTACGTGAGGTGACTGACGGAATATCTTGACAGGAAAATAATACTGGGAGTTGAAAGGGTTGAGGGGGGTATTGGGAGGGGATAATCAAGGACTCCGAGGTTTCTGTCGAGCCCAGAGGTGTTCCCGGGGCCACCAGGTATAAATAAACGCCAAGCAAGGGCGGCAACTCTTGTAAAACATTTGGACATACAACACAAACCAACAAATCTAAGTTAACGTGTACAAAAAATAAGGTGGTTGGCCTAAGTGAGGTTACAATATAGTGTGTTTAGTTCAGGTTGGTGTGTTTCTGTCATAACCAAATTATAAGTTTAAATTTGTTACGATCCCGTAGTAAAGTTAAAACCAATAGTGAATAAGTATATAGTTACAAAACAGTATTTACTGAAAATGTCGGAGTGTTTGTGTTAGTTTCTCCATAAAAAATCAGAGACAGAGCTTAGTTCGTTTTCTTTGAACAGCAGTAACAGAAAATAAGCATTTTCTCGCAGCTGATCATGAGAGAAAATTGTAGTCAGCCAATGGTTATCACCACACTGTTAAGCAGGGAGGTGTTATTACCCGGGTTGAAATCTCCCTTTGTGGGAAAATTTCTGCATTCTAGAGGGGAATTTTTATGCAGTGTAACACCAAATGAGAAGGGCGAAATTCGTCTGAACATTTGCTCAGAATGATGAGAATCTTTCCTCTTGTCTGCGTTAGAGGTCTGCATAACATCTCTTATAAGAGTTTGTAACGATGCTTGAACTGTGAGGTGTGGTGTTAGCGCTTGTCCCTTGTCTGAACTGTACAAGTTTGTGTCCTGGTCGGCTTGTGTGCTCGTCCTGTGACTCACGCAGAATACCCCCCCCCCCCACATTTGTACGGGACTATAGAAAGACCTGGCAGTACCACAGTCCACAGACCCCCGCAAGGTGGATAGCCCACCTGCTATCAAATCTCCCTCTTTATTTCCCACTTCCTAACTTTCACCTTCCTCCTACACCGTCTTCCACCTTCCTGAGCAAATGGCTCTCATCTCTCCATCCCATCATCATCATCAGTCCACAGCCGCTCTTTGGTTTGAACTATGGATAGTTTGGGTTCTACGGCATAAGGGAAGGGGTTTATTTTATTCGAATTAGGAGGAGGAAATGTTCTCAGCGGAAGATGGAAAAGGTTAAGAACCGTTGCTGTAAAGACGTGATCCAAGTAAATACAATGCTCAGGTTTTATTTTTAACAACAAGCTTACAGATAGTGGTAGTGTTGTATGACCCCGTGGACTGTAAGAGACAGAGATCTGGTAATTATGTTGGAAAATAAACACCATTAGTCGTTAGTGAAGATTTCAGATGGTATCACTCCTCTCTCTCTCACTCCCTCTCTCTCTCACTCCTCTCTCTCTCTCTCCTCTCTCTCTATCTCTCTCACTCCCTCTCTCACTCCCTCCCTCACTCCCTCTCTCTCTCACTCCCTCTCTCTCTCTCTCTCTCTCTCACTCTCTCCCTCACTCTCTCACTCCCCTCTCTTTCTCTCTCTCTCCTCCTCTCTCTCTCACTCCCCTCTCTCTCACTCCCTCTCTCTCTCACTCCCCCTCTCTCACTCCTCTCTCTCTCTCACTCCTCTCTCTCTCACTCCCTCTCTCTCTCATTCCCTCTCTCTCGTTACCATGGAACAGTTCACACGTGAATATACAATACTGATTTAAGTCAACATTATCTCTTAATACATTTTCTAACTAAATTTCATTATAGTCAAATAGTTAAGACGTTGTACTGAAGGGATTAACTCGTCATGCTCAGTGGGTTAATTGACTGTACTCACAACTCATAAGGTTTACATCTCATCTAAGAGGTTAATACGAATACCAAGAGTCTTGAAAGAGAGTAACAGATTAAAAACAAATAGTGGAGTAGATACTGGAGAGGGTTCTTATAATAGATGTGTCCCGGAGTACTTAAATAAAACTTAAGGACTAAAGTAAAGTTTGTGTGTTATGGTGTTTCAGACGTAATCCAAGATAATTACGATGCATTATTGTCATTATCTTTCAAAACTCAGTCAGGAGTTATAGCAGGAACTAAGCGTTATATAAGCTAACTAGTTACTCGGTACCTGAAATATTTATTAGTATTTGTGATGTTTACTATGACAATATGACATTATTTTGACTCCCCTGTCAGGTCCCTAGATCAACCAATTGAATCATAACGCTGTACTCGTAATGGCTATTAATTAGTATGAACAAAGTGTGGAAAGTTGTAAATACACATCGGTTGCTATTAGAGATTACTACACAGAAAACTAAGTTAAATGTCATTATTAACTGCTATTACCCCTTTACCACCTCAAGTGTAAAGTGAGACACAAGTTTATCCTGGAATAAATTCAAAAGTTCATGTGAGAGAAAACGAAAAATTGTCTTTACCGTAAACTTTTATAATATATGGGAGTGCGTCTTTCTTTTAACGGATCTAAACGAAAGTGACGCAGTGTAACAAGGAATCCGTGGATAATGTAAAAGTGGGGACATTAGGGAGTTGAAAGGGACTGAAGCTGGGACTGACAGCGCCAATCACTGTAATTCAGGAATATCGTCCTCAAAGACGTGTTTAATTCTTGAAAATACCCGGTGAAATAAATATATCACTACACGTACCAAAGACGCTAACAATAGATACCTCGTGATGAGTCGGAGTCATTGGAATGTGTCGCCGCCGTCTCACCTATCTGATTTACCCAGACTGTTTCACCTACGACGACAATTTAGTATTTATTACACGACTGTAATTTAAACACCACACAGTGTAAGGTCAATCTGAATACAGACGTTACATTTTAACTACTGTAACTATAGGTTATTATAATGTATCACTGCACCTTAACTACTAAATAGGTAGATTAGGAAATACATTAATCGCCATCAATTATAAGTTACGAGAAAACCAATTGTTAATTATTCCAAGACACATTGTGTAGTATTCCTCTTGCTGAGAACTTATAGCGTAATTTTTGTTGATGTAAAATATGAAGGAAAACATCTCTGACTGGCAATATCTTTCTTTAACTACATTAACTCACAACACACATAAATAAATGCCTCATTATGGAGGGTACTGTGTAGGTAGCTGCCGATGATGTAGCTATGTGTCAGCGAGAACAGTGTGAGGATATGAATATAATACACAATGATTATAATGCATTGAATTTTTAATTACTTCAAAATAAATAAATAAATAAAATTAAATAGAGATTTGTCTTTACATTTATACACCTATATCTATCGTACAAATATTTTACTTTCACAAACACATACATACAAAATAAATTAATTATATATAATGAGACCAAAAGAGAACTATCTCTCATAATTTGTTAATGTTGTCGGAATATTGTAATTACTAACCTTGATCGGCCTTAAAGACTTTCCTTGGTCAAGCGCAGTAATAACACCATAACAACAACTCAAAATGGTTAAAAGTCACAATTTAATATATCTATTATACTCTCCACTCCAACCAGGACCATCCTCCTGCAGGTGGCAGTGAGGGTGACCGTTGGATAGTGTTGCTAGGGTCTCTCATAACTTCATTATCCAGGCCTCCTGCAGGTGGTAGTGAGGGCGACCTTTGTATTGTGTTGTGAGAGGCGTTGCCAGGGTCTCTAAATGCTTCATTATCCAGGGGAAGCTCTCCTAGTGTTTTCTCTGACGCAGTGATCTCCGCGTCACTCAGTCTGCTGCTGTAACACCCACTTGCCTCTTGCTCCTTCGGGCACCAACCTCTTAATGAATGACCTTCTGACGTTACTAGCTTGATGTTCAGTATAGCCTGACTAACGTTGTCTGAGGCAACAGCTGACTCAAAGTTCTCTGTACCAATAACAGCAGTAGTTTTACCCGTGGCTTCTGGAGTCAAGTTCCAGCAAGCTGACTTTACCCATTTGTCAGCAGAACTAATGTCGGCGGTTTTATGAGGTAAACTCAAGCTAATTATTGTCTCCAAAGTTGGGTTTTCTTTGAGGGAGGGAAGTTGGAGGGTCGAAAAGTTGCGATACTTGGTGACGCGTCTCCCTCCTGGACCGCTGAGAGTTCGAGCAACAGACTTGAGGGTGATGGACGAATGCTTCTTGAAGATGCCATAGAGGCCTTTGTCAGGTTTCTTGGAGCCCACCTCCAGATCCTCAGCGCTGTACGACGACGTCTGGCGCAATAGTTCCACCAGACTGTACAGAGAAGGAACAAAACCAGTTCATAAACAACATTTGCCATCAGAAGCTGTGACAGTTTTCAGTATATTTCAGTATATTTTGAACAAGATAAATGAACTGCAAATGTGACTTACATGAAGGCGATCATGATGATGACGTTGAGACTGGCACCAAAGAAGAACTGGGCAGCGGGGAAGGTGTCGACGGTGTTGTAGTAGAGGGGTGAGTAGGCTGCGTAGCCCACCATCGGCATGAGGCCGTTGAGGGCCGCCATCACGGCGTTGATACGACCTGACCAACAACATCAATACCAATTAAAGACCAGAAATAAGAAGTACATAATTGATAATTTACACAATCATTGGTGTTTATATCAGTGTTATGATATTTAAACAAAATAATTACGAAGACAATCTACAAAAAAAAATTTATATAAGGAACCTTGCATAAGTATTTTGTTCAGGCTAGTGGTGAAACAGTGTATAACTATAGTTCTACAGTTCATGAATAGCTCTCATTGAAATTAACATAATTGACCATCAGAATGAGAATAAACTAATGTGCTCACCTTTCTCGTGGCTGGTGACAAGTTTGGTGGACATAGATTTGAAGGCGATGACCATTGCGTTGGAGATGACGCCTGCAGGCGGCCCCAGCCACATGAGGAAACTCTGGGAAGGTCCGCTCACCAGCCCGTAGCACACGTACTCACTGATCATAGACACAGTCCCCAACACCACCAGTGACGCGTCCGTGAACGACAACAGCCGCGTCAGGAACGGCACCAGGAACAGCGAGCCTGAAAATATTTACCACATGAGACTACCGGCTAATGGACGCCTATTAAAGATTGTATATACAGCTTAATGACCACTAATGGGTGTACCTTGTTCTGGCCACACTGTTGACCAACTGTGTGATTAGTGCTGAAGGTGATGTGTTTGACCTGTCATTAATATATGTATGGACGTGGATGTGAACAACGTCAGTATAATTATATACTGGGCCAGAGGGTGTCAGGATAGTGATCCCATGACCTGGACTTGTATCTGATGGAGAAATTCCCTTCCCTTCCCATGTAACGTGAGCCCTAAACTATTCTAATGTTGATGTAATAACAACAAGGTAGGCCAGCAGGGTGTGACTTACCGAGGGCAGCCAGCAGGTTGCGGTATGAGATCCAGTAGCCGTAGTCGGTGGCCTCCCAGTGCAGGGCGCGACGCACAAACATGTACATGAAGAACCCTGCGGGAACACAAACCACAAGGGCTTTAGTGTGATCGAAACTCTAATTTCTTCACCGATATAAGTCAAACTAACAATGTATACTAAATATGGCCAAGTGACATTGTATCATAGGAACTTTAAAGAGAAGACAGAAATTAAGACAGACGGTTACCTCTAGCCATACGACGAATCATGTTGCCCATGATGACAACCATAAGGAGACAACGGGCGTTACCCTCACGCTTCCTGAACGCCGTCTTGAAGGACTCCACCACGCGTCGCCAGTTGAAGAAGTCGGTGAACATGGTGGTGACTTTCGTGTCCTTCTTTTCTAAGGTGGGCTCGTCCTTAAAGGAGCCCTGGGCCTGCAGAGCCTTCTTGGCGAAGGGTCCGTGGCTCTCTTTGATGAAGACGAAGACGTAAGCGACGGCGGCGATGTAGGCGAGCAGCACGAGGCCCAGAGCCAGGTCATAGCCGCTGTACTTAATGATAAGAGCGCCAATCAATGTTCCCAAAGGACCTCCCAAAAACCACACGGAGTTGGCGGTGCTGATACGTGATGTTCGCTGATTCTCATGACAAATATCGCTGATGTAGCTGATGGTGGAGGAGAGGAGGCCGGCGTTGGCTCCTCCCAGGGCCTCCAAGAGTGTCACCAGGTAGAGCACCTCCACGGGCCAGCTGGTCTGCCAGTTGACCAACAGGTAACCCCCGGCATACAACACATGACCCACCAACGTCATCAGGAGAGGAATCTGTCCAAAGTCACGTTGTTAGAATGTTAAACAAGAAAATGTGAATATTTATCAGTATGAAATATGGATTAGCAGTTAACTTGATAATTCTTAAGGTATTTTTGATGGTGTTATATGACAAAATTGCTCGGATTCCTATTTTTATTTTGTTAGTATTTCAAACGTAAAAGATATAATTCATTTTATGATACCAAATGCCATCTTTTTTTATGAAATGTGATGCCAGGATTGAGAACGTCCCTTACTCACCTTACGTCCGTATTTATCACTCCAGGCGCCCATGAAGAGCACGAAGATGAGAGGCAGCACCGACATGATGATGCTGTTGTAGAAAGCAAAGAGGGAGAACTCTCGCTGGACGAGCACACTTTGCTCCGGGTGGGCTGACAGGTTGGCACACACCTGAGAGGACACACAGTTACTCCTCACCTCCTCAACCAGTCTATACTGACAGTGTACTCATGATAAACTCTTCATAATCCATCACAAATTTTACCTACAATGCCTGTTGAACTTTAGAGCTATATTTACTAACAAGTGCTCATGTTTGTATATTGTTAATCTCATAACTTTGGTTTGGTGATGAAACTAAACTATGCTGTTTATCAAGTCTTCCTGACACAAGTTAGAAAAGTTACCTCCGGTGACAGCCCCAAGTTGACGGAGCATATCTTGTTCATCTGGACGTTCTCGATAAAGAGGAGCATGGCCTCCTTGCACGCTCCGTCGAGGAGCATGACAGGTTCTACGGTAATGGTCCGCAGGGCGGCCATCAGTCCTCCCGCCACCATCCTGCTGGGGAGTTGTACCTCACGACTGATAACTCACAATGTTCCTCCTCCAATACAAATGTTGTATCGAGGTTCACCGAGTCACTGCTGAAGACAAAGTTTTCTAAGTCACTTCAATATTTGTGTTCAAGTCTACAAGTTCACTTTACTTGCCAATGAACAAGTCTTCTGGGTCCTTCGAGAGCGACCCTTCAAGTAAGACGCGTGGTGAGTCTTGAAGTGTTGTGGTGCAGATGTTTCCTCGAGATCTTATACTTGTCTGGTGACCGTTTGGCTGAGGGGGAACACCCCGTTGCTCGCTGTGGCCCGCGTGCTGACGTAAGAGTGCCTGAGAGGGTAAACTTGTTTATATCCGTTAAACTTATCTTTTTATAGTTATGTTGATTTTGTCTCTCCACAAATATAATGAATAACATATACAAGTGAAGGGCGTCAAACAGTTGAATTTCTTATTATACTTTCCACACCACCTTACTTTAGCCTTCCTGGCGCCTGAGTGTACCAGAGAGACGCATTCTCTCGTTGATATGGAAAACTTAACAAAAATATTCATCCAGTATGTAGTATGTGGTAGAACGATAATGCTTTAGAAAATAAATCCCATAACTGGAAAAACGGAACTGAGAACAATGCATCAGTATGTTATTCTCGCTGTTACTTCCTAGAGGATGATGTGACGGAGAGACGTCTCCTCGTGAGTTACGTTACTAAAGTGATTTATTTTTACTTATATTTCAGTGACTTTCTCTACCATGGATGAGATAGAGAGAGAGAGAGCCAGGTCTCCCTCACCACGTGCTTGACACCCACATGTGAGTGTAAGCGCATCCCTTGAGCACGTGAATATCAACTACTTTTTTTGGACAGGTGATGCTGCCAAGGCGAAGTTAACTGAATAGCGTCCTAAAGTTACGGTCACTATCCCGTACCCTGTCCTCCACCTAATGACGTCACTACGCAAGGTGTTACTCAATATTGCTTACCAACAGTGAATTAGGGACCATGTGATCATTATCCTTAACCCGACCAGTTTTTGGAAGTCTTGTCCTCACTTCTTAAGTTGGTAGTGACGCACGAAGGTAAATAAATGACATTGTAATCTGAATTGACAGTTGTAAATCATGAACTGAGAAATATACTTTGAGTTCGAGCATATACTGTGTTGAATGGTGACTGTTCGAACTCAAAGTACAGTAACAACAAACATCAAAATGCTGAGAAATGACGAATAACCTGACAAAGTAATTATTAGTTCTCGAGTACTAATAATTACTTTGTCATGTTATTCATCATTTCTCACCATTTTGATGTCTCATATCATGGGAACAGGTTTCTTCAGTTTACTCAAGTACATGTGTCTCTTAGTGGCTGAAGTACCACTACGACCCCTAAGATGATGTGTCGTGTTAATAGTTATGTCTTATGAATGGTACTGAAGTTTCTAACAGAATGAGCCACCCATATTCCGTGGTGGCCTCCATGGAGTAATCGTGGCAGGCATGACCGCCTTGAACTAGTCTGGGTAGATCACTTGGGTGTGTAAGAGAGCCAGGGTGGGGCATGGTCGACTATTTATACACTTCTATTTGTCGAGGATAAATTTACATCAGGCACAAGAAAGATTAATATTTTTAACACTATATAGAAAGTGAGTCTTGAAGCCACTAGGATGGAACACAGATGCTGGCAGAGAAATATTGAAGAAAAAATCCATAGACGTACTGTATAGAGAAGATACGATGCGTAGAAGTTGAGAGACAACTTAGAGAGAGAGAATTAACAAAAAAATCTCCCAAAGATTTTGACATGTTGTGTTTCGTTAACTAAAGCTAAGATGAAGTTTCTAGTTTGGGTAATAAACGCTTATTCAATCACGAGAACTAGAACATTTAAATATGGTGCTATAAATTCTCACAAAGTGTTTGGCTGCTTCAGTTATAGCTAACACTATGTGTCAGTTGACCATCTTGGTGTAGATGGCAAGTCATGATGATATTCATATCAGGAGAGTGTGCATAGCACCTCATGGGGCTGTGGCCCTGTCTCTGTTTGAAGAAAACATAATTACACATGTTAAAGTGAAGAAACTGGCAGTTTCATCCTCACTATTCCTGATTCGTCGACATCTTGCCAGTCCCTCTGAAGAGAGGAAGTCATGCACATGAGTGAACGAATTAAATTTACGATTATAGTTCACCTACACTTATGAATAAGTGAGTCCCTTCATTATGCACAGATTGTAATGAAACTTACTCTATCATATTTCTTACTGTTGAGTGTGTAAGTGTACAATAGCGAACTATTCATGAACTTTATATTTTTCCTAACAATTGAAGGTGTAGAAAGTGACCTTAGGCTGTGTATTTAAAGATCTTAGTTAATAAGTTCACCAATACACTGCAACATAAGATGAAATTTACCATAATTCTTCACCATAACGTCAGCTCCCTCCCAAGACCTCTTAGCATACCTCCTCTTCCTTACCTGGTCTCGTGCAGGTGTTCCTTGTTATAATGCCGACCTCGTCTTTGACCCCTGTTAGCGACCGAGTTTGGCCTGTGGCCGACAGTCTCAACTGTGAAGAAGGCGACAATAACACGCCACATGACCCCATAGACACAGGCCATCATTCTGAGGTCTTACTGCATCGTAACGTCACCTGAGTCTTGATACAGTGAGCCTCACATCCTCATACGGTACAAATATGTTTAAATGTTCTCTTTAGAAGAGGCGGAGGCGAGAGGACAGAAAAGTATTAATTTTGAGGTACAACTATTCACTCCTCTAAATATTATTACCTTAACACATAATTAAGCCACCTCAGCTCCGACGAAACTATTGGACTGAAAAATCGATATTTGGAAAATGTGTTTATTTCTTATGAATAAATAATATATAAAGTTTCTCCAAATAAAATAAACATGATATAGTCCGAACACCTTAACATAGTGTATCCATGAGGGTGATATTTACAAATGTACATAGGAAATGAGATGAATAAATTATTAAGTATAGGAACATCAGATGTTACCACCAGGTCCTTCCTCCTGCAGGTGGTAGTGAGGGCGACTTTTGTATTGTGTTGTGAGGGGCGATGTTAAAGTCTCTCAAGGCTTCATAATCCAGGCCTCCTGCAGGTGGTAGTGAGGGCGACCTTTGGATTGTGTTGTGAGAGGCGTTGCCAGGGTCTCTAACGGTTTCATTAACTAGGGGAAGCTCTCCCAGTGTTTTCTCTGACGCAGTGATCTCCGCGTCACTCAGTCTGCTGCTGTAACACCCATTTGCCTCTTGCTCCTTCGGGCACCAACCTCTCAATGAATGTCCTTCAGACGTCACTAGCTTGATGTTCAGTATAGCCTGACTAATGATGTCTGAGGCAGCAGCTGACTCAAAGTTCTCTGTACCAGTAACAGCAGTAGTTTTACCCGTGGGTTCTGGAGTCAAGTTCCAGCAAGCTGACTTTACCAATTTGTCAGCAAAACTAATGTCGGCGGTTTTGTGAGGTAAACTCAAGCTAATTATTGTCTCCAAAGTTGGGTTTTCTTTGAGAGAGGGAAGTTGGAGGGTCGAAAAGTTGCGATACTTGGTGACGCGTCTCCCTCCTGGACCGCTGAGAGTTCGAGCAACAGACTTGAGGGTGATGGACGAACGCTTTTTCAAGATGCCATTGAGGCCCTTGTCAGGTTTCTTGGTGCCCGCCTCCAGATCCTCAGCGCTGTACGATGACGTCTGGCGCAATAGTTCCACCAGACTGTACAGAGAAGGAACAAAACCAGTTCATAAACAACATTTGCCATCAGAAGCTGTGACAGTTTTTCAGTATATTTCAGTATATTTTGAACAAGATAAATGAACTGCAAATGTGACTTACATGAAGGCGATCATGATGATGACGTTGAGACTGGCACCAAAGAAGAACTGGGCAGCGGGGAAGGTGTCGACGGTGTTGTAGTAGAGGGGTGAGTAGGCTGCGTAGCCCACCATCGGCATGAGGCCGTTGAGGGCCGCCATCACGGCGTTGATACGACCTGACCAACAACATCAATACCAATTAAAGACCAGAAATAAGAAGTACATAATTGATAATTTACACAATCATTGGTGTTTATATCAGTGTTATGATATTTAAACAAAATAATTACGAAGACAATCTACAAAAAAAAATTTATATAAGGAACCTTGCATAAGTATTTTGTTCAGGCTAGTGGTGAAACAGTGTATAACTATAGTTCTGCAGTTCATGAATAGCTCTCATTGAAATTAACATAATTGACCATCAGAATGAGAATAAACTAATGTGCTCACCTTTCTCGTGGCTGGTGACAAGTTTGGTGGACATAGATTTGAAGGCGATGACCATTGCGTTGGAGATGACGCCTGCAGGCGGCCCCAGCCACATGAGGAAACTCTGGGAAGGTCCGCTCACCAGCCCGTAGCACACGTACTCACTGATCATAGACACAGTCCCCAACACCACCAGTGACGCGTCCGTGAACGACAACAGCCGCGTCAGGAACGGCACCAGGAACAGCGAGCCTGAAAATATTTACCACATGAGACTACCGGCTAATGGACGCCTATTAAAGATTGTATATACAGCTTAATGACCACTAATGGGTGTACCTTGTTCTGGCCACACTGTTGACCAACTGTGTGATTAGTGCTGAAGGTGATGTGTTTGACCTGTCATTAATATATGTATGGACGTGGATGTGAACAACGTCAGTATAATTATATACTGGGCCAGAGGGTGTCAGGATAGTGATCCCATGACCTGGACTTGTATCTGATGGAGAAATTCCCTTCCCTTCCCATGTAACGTGAGCCCTAAACTATTCTAATGTTGATGTAATAACAACAAGGTAGGCCAGCAGGGTGTGACTTACCGAGGGCAGCCAGCAGGTTGCGGTATGAGATCCAGTAGCCGTAGTCGGTGGCCTCCCAGTGCAGGGCGCGACGCACAAACATGTACATGAAGAACCCTGCGGGAACACAAACCACAAGGGCTTTAGTGTGATCGAAACTCTAATTTCTTCACCGATATAAGTCAAACTAACAATGTATACTAAATATGGCCAAGTGACATTGTATCATAGGAACTTTAAAGAGAAGACAGAAATTAAGACAGACGGTTACCTCTAGCCATACGACGAATCATGTTGCCCATGATGACAACCATAAGGAGACAACGGGCGTTACCCTCACG